TTTATTATTATAAAATAAAAAAACCTATTATAGGAATTAATTTTTTAAATAATATAAAATACTGTATATATTAGTAAAAAATTTTTAACTTGATATAGTCATTGAAAAATATTATTTGATTTATATAATAAATTTCTTTTTAAATAAATTATAATTTATTATAAATCTTTGTTTATTGTAGATATAAAATTATTATTAGAAAAATATAAAATAAAATATAAATTAGATATACTATAAATATTTCAAATAGATAATAAATATTTCAAATAATATACTGTATATTATAAAAATCAAGATCAAAGATAAATAAGTTTTTTAAATAATTAAAATATATATATATATTATATATGGCATAAACAATTATCTCAAGAAATATTGGATTTTTTTGAATCTTTTTAAATCAAAAAATCTTTTTTCTTTTTATAACACATTTATATGTTTTTAAATATTTCTTATCTTTCCTTTTTCTTATATAATTTTTTATATTTTAATAACTTGAAAAAATAATTAGTAGTAATAGCTTGCTAACAATGATAGATAAATTGAAAAGGTTTCTATTTAGAATAATATTGTTTTCAAGATTAACTTAGAAATGCTTGCTTAAAACAACTTAGTTAGATATACTGTATAGTGATTTGTTAAATTTTAATACAATTAGAGATATAACAACATTAAATAAATAAATTTTTACTTTTTGATATCACTAGAACAAATACTGATTCATTATTATGGTGGAAAACGAATGCTGGTTATTTTGCATTGCAAGCTACAAGTGATCGTCGTGAGCATACTTTTTCTATAGTCGAAAATATTTTAACCTCACACAAAATCGATATAATCAGGAATCTTGGGATGGATACTGTGTGGTGTGTTGATGTTGACTTTTCGAAATATACAGTACATTACCTGTTTCAATTATGTATAATATTACATCATGTGTTATCAGAAGCCTGATCACAAATTGATGTTTTTTGTGCCAAGTTCAATTAAAACTCGAACCGGACTTTAAAACGGTTTGTATAAATTATCAAGATCCGTTTGTTTCTACACATTACACATTACACAATTATTTGCAAGGTATAACTTGTTTAGATTATTTGATGCCTCGTTCGCAATCAAAGTGTGCTCCCGGGAATTCTCTTATGGACCACAGAAAAAATAACCGCCTTCACCCCGACGTGATTAGATTGGTGTATGCTTCTTCCCTAACCATATTTGTGAGAAACTTTAATGTGGGGAAAGTGGGAGAGTAATTAATCTCTGATTTCGTACTTGCGATTTTGATGTGTACGCCGATAATAACATATCATCACGACACATTGCAGAAATATCTCATCTAACCTATTTGCTTCCGTAATTTGCCGTGTGTATGTAGGAATAAACACGAGGAGAATTCGCAATCAGCCTTGTCACATACTGCATCTACTTTATCCTCATCTCGTCCTACTTGTACCACATGGGCGAGCTTTCTCGAGTAGTACCCCTTGTGACAAGGTGAACGGCGAGAATTGGCAAGAGCAATCTGTGATCACGAGAAATGATCATTCTTCTACCGTCCTGTATGAAGTGAATTCCGCAGGCGGTAAAAACTGCTCTCGCACTTTCGTAAAATCCTCGATTCATTAATTACCAAGAGGTTAGTTTGTTTTAAGATTGATAAACCACATGCTTTCATTGTGCTCATAGTCAAAGAGTTCGGTGATCCTTGCTCGTCATGCGCGTGCATTCTTGAAAAGAGAAGGGCACTATGTGTTCATCCTTTTCATTTTACTGTACTTTTCGGTTTTCTTAAAAGACGATGGTCACGCAACGTCACAGTACAATACCTTTGGTGTACCGCTTAAAAATAATCAAACTATCTCCGAGATCTTTTTTTAATTTACGGGAAATCCGTTTGTTCGTGTTATTAAGAGATGCTATTGTCCAGAGAAACAAGGGAACTCACGCACAAACATCCGATTTTGGATTCCGCATGCGAAATATTTTCTAGCTCGATCATTCATCGTCGAATTACGAGACCGCTGCCGAATTATTGTGGCGTTAAGGTAAATAAAACATAAATAAATAAACATAAATAAATAAAAAGTAAAATACAGTAAATAAATAAATAAATTGATAGACCCATTAATTAATTAATTATTCACGATATCGGATATCGATAACCATCGAAAATGTCAATCCTATGTGCACAACAGAAATCATCGTCATCATTATTATGACAATTCCTTTAAACTTTAGATTTATTTATTTACTTTAACTTTATTTTTCTTTTTTATTTCTTAATCCCATTTCTTACTCCACATTTCAAATTTCCTTAATTTGATATTCATTCTGAAAGGAGCCTAATAAAAAACCAGTTCATTCTGATTGCTCGCGTCTTTCGCCCTTTAACTCTTCATCAACCAACCAACCACCCTTATCGCCCATGATCTATAAATAGTCCGACAAGAAGAACGATCAAAAAAATTTTTCATTCCGACCATCAACATGATTGATTATCGATCCTTAATTGTCGTGTCACGCATTATTCTGTTGTAAAACAAACGCATAGATAATCAATCAATGATGTAAGCAAATCCTTCTCGCTCACTCAAACTCCCCTTGCACCTTTGAAGTGGCTTCGTGCTTGCGCAAGCCGGGATGAATATTGATATTGTACTCATTATTCACTTTCCGGTTCATTCTCTTTTGATAATCGCATCTGTGAAAATTAAGTCACGTCGTATCACGGGAACGAGAATAACAATTTAGGTAATCGAGTGACGACAGTATGTGCGTCTGTGTTACACAAATTAACTGACTTTACCATTGACAATAACTCAATGCACATGCATTTCCCGGGTCATGATATTGAAAAGAAAATCCATTTTCCTTCATCCTTGTATTATCAGATTGACCATCAATCGGTTGATTCGTGTCTTCGGCATTATTCGATCTTTGCTTGAGAAGAGAGCGGTGGCGAATTTCAAGCGTATGGAAATATAATTCGAAGAAGGCTTACTGATGGATTAAATGGATGACATGCATAATCTGTTTTGGTGTCATACGTGAAAAACTTGTAAGCAATTAGACACCAGAGATATCTCTTCTTTATTTATTAACACATGACCAGAGGACCGGGTGGACGGTTATCTCTGATGAAGATCATGCCATTCTCTCGAGTTACACGCGGTGCACAAACGCGCACACACACAATACACAATCGTATGAATCGATCCTGATCATTCTTTTCGGTCATCGCCGGACTAATACCATCCACTTCGACTTTTAGACGCCTCATAGGTGTGGGGGACGGATCGGGTGAAGTGAATCAATCGCACGGAAATTTTTAATCGCACCCTACTGTCAACGTCGGCATAACTTCAACACGATGGGTGCGCGTGCCGTCTCGGAGTCAAAGGTGTGCGCGAATTGTCGGGAGATTCGAGGAGAAACCGTGATTCCGTCATTGCACATGTGGTCGAGGGAAAGAAATATTTAACCGGATAAAGTATGGGCCTAAAATGTCTTATGCATCGTTATGCATAAGGTGCTTGTTTAAAAAGTTCATGGTTGTTGCAAAGTGGAAAAAGAGATAATCTAAAAAATTTTGGTTGATAAATTTAGGGTTTCTCCGACCGTAAATATGCACGTACGTGCACTTCAGTACGCATGAATTTGGTTCCCAGTGCCGGTTTTGACACCTGAGAGAATTGCACGACCCGATGGCAAGCGTTGATCGGCCACATGACCTTCCAATTAACATAAAACTGGTTTTTTCCGAGATAAGCGGACGAATTTTGTTCACATGCTAGTCTTCCTTGCATGACTTTTTGTTTTTTTCATCCACGCGTGCACACATCGTTATCTCAATCTCACTCAATAAAGATCTGCCCAATTTCAATAATAATAATAATAATAATAATAATAATAATAATAATAATTTAAATTTTGTTAATGTAAAGCTGATGGACACGATAAATATCGGATACACTCATCTTTTTATGTACGAGTACAGTAAATTCAGTGGAATGCGTGATTGTTGGTACGACAGTCAATGTCGTTAGGTTTTCCGTAGATTAAGAATGATAAGATAAACAAGCTTTTTCATTTTCTCTAGATCAGATTTTTTTGGTTTTTCTTTTTTTTTCCTCTTGGTCGTCTATTGTAGATGATAGAATTGTACCACTTTTACATAATTATTTGTGGCACTCAGGTGAACGATAGATTTTTTTTTTTTTTCAATCAGCGCCTCTGAAAATCCATAAAACGACCGAAAAGACAGTTGTCTTTTTTTTCTTTTCTACACGCTGTTCTCTTCACCGACTGAAATTTTTTGAAATTGTTCATTGTCACTTGAAACCACTCCTCATCTGCTAATTGAATTCTAGTTTACACAATTATCTCATTCCATTATTGTCTTTCGTTAATAGATGTTCCTTTAATCTCTAATCCGTCATCCATCTTCCCAATTCTTGTTTGTGTTCTTTTTTTTTTTTTTTTACGTGCACTCGGTAGTTATATAATTCAAGATTATAGAAATTTAATCAATCAATCATCAATCGATCAATCATTTATCTTGTTCGAAAAAGATTATCCGGTATCTTGTTCACTTGTTAATATATATATACGCATAGATTCCTCTCCTGGGAAAAATCCGACTGTGTGAGTGACGTATCTCATTAGTTCGACGCCGTCCGCCTTTTTACGCCTTGGTAACATACATACAGTATATAAGTGACACGGCGCGCTATCAAAAAAATTTTTTTTTACCTGTGAAGAGCAGCTATTATTATATTCGTGAAAAGGGTCACCTCTTGTTTCGTCGTATCTCTCCCCCTTCCTCTTTGGTTCCCGATTTCATTCGTCCTTTCGCAGCTCGCTCGCTCTCCCGCCCAAGGGAATAATAATAATCGTCATAATCATAATAAAAAGAATATCCCAGTTACTCGTGCATCACCCGAAGAATTACCGTGATATATAAAACGTCAATCTACAATTCATATATTCCTTAATTAATTATGGTATCTACTGTCGACTCTTTGCAACAAACTATTAATCACACTCCTGTAGATCAATTGTCAATTAATAATCGTGAAGAATCTGCTTTTAACAATTCCTGGGCAGATACCATCCCCCCGAAACAGGGTCTCTATGATCCCGAATACGAAAAAGATTCTTGTGGGGTAGGTTTCATCGTACACATCAAAGGTGCTCCCTCTCATAAAATTCTCAGCGATGCTAGCGGTATCCTCTGCAACATGACCCACAGAGGTGCTGTGGGTTCCGACGCGAGAGATGGTGACGGTGCTGGTGTGATGACGGGAATCCCTCATGATTTCTTTCACCTCGAGACTTTGAGGTTGAACATTGTTTTGCCTCCGCAAGGTCAGTATGCCGTTGGTAACATATTTTTCAAACCGGAACCTGTGGTAATGGAGGAATGCAAGCAGATCTTCGAGCGTATCGCTGAAAGTTTGAATCTCAAGGTTTTGGGTTGGCGCGAGGTCCCGAAAGACAATTCGATCCTCGGTCCCGCGGCAAAATCACGTGAACCTCTGATCTTACAGCCGTTTGTCACCTTGGCCAGCTACAACCCCTCTGCTGAGAACAAATCCGCTCCCTATCAGGATGATGCCAACACATTCGACGAGACTTATTTCGCCCGTCAACTTTACGTCCTCCGAAAGCAATCCACTCACACCATCACCGTAAAGAAATGGTTCTACATTTGTTCCCTGTCAAACAAAAACATCATCTACAAGGGTCAATTGTCTCCCGTGCAGGTTTACAATTACTTTCACGATCTACACAGTGTTCACTACAAAACTCACTTTGCTTTGGTCCATTCGCGTTTTTCCACAAACACCTTTCCTTCCTGGGATCGTGCCCAACCTATGCGTTGGTGTGCTCACAACGGTGAAATCAACACTTTGCGTGGTAACAAGAACTGGATGCGAGCTCGTGAGGGTATCATGAAATCCGATTTATTCGGGAACGAATTGGAACTGTTGTATCCCATCATTGAGGACGGTGGATCCGATTCGGCGGCTTTTGACAATGTGCTCGAGTTACTCGTGATAAACGGTGTCCTCACCCTTCCGGAATCCGTGATGATGATGATTCCCGAGGCATGGCAGAACAATCATTCTATGGAGCCCGAAAAACGCGCATTCTATCAATGGGCTGCTTGCCTAATGGAACCTTGGGATGGTCCAGCTTTATTCACCTTCTCTGATGGTCGTTACTGTGGCGCCAGTTTGGATCGTAACGGTCTTCGTCCGTGCCGTTTCTACATCACCACCGACGACATGATGGTCTGCGCTTCCGAAGTTGGCACGATTCTGATTGAACCCGAGAAGGTTGTTCAAAAAGGCCGCCTTCAGCCAGGAAAGATGTTACTGGTCGACACCGAGGAGGGTCGCGTCGTGGACGACAAGGAACTAAAGTTGTCCGTCGCTTCGCGTGAAAATTTTCGCGCGTGGATCGAGAAACAGATGGTCACTTTGGGCAACGTGATTCAGCAAATTAAGAGTACCGGCAATGGTATAGAAGTCGAATTGGACGACCTCCCTTTATCCGAAGACCCAAGATTACGCGCATTCGGTTACACCCTCGAACAAATAAATCTTTTGGTCTTACCAATGGTATTTTGCCAACGATCGTTTGAGAATTGCAATCGATGGGATCATTCTTCACCGCTTTGTTATTTATTAAACTTTATTTTTTATCCTCAAATGATCACTTAGTTGAACAGTGGCAAAGAAGCTTTGGGCTCCATGGGGAATGATGCTCCTTTGGCTTGCCTCTCAAGTCAACCTCGGTTAATCTATGACTACTTCCGTCAACTTTTTGCCCAAGTCACCAACCCACCGATTGATCCCATTCGTGAGGAGATTGTTATGTCGCTGGAGTGTTATGTTGGACCTGAAGGAAACATTCTGGAAATTAATGAACAACAAGCCAATAAACTCGCCTTACCCTCACCGGTACTCTCGATCGAAGAATTGAACGCCATAAAATGGATGGAACGCGTCCTGCCTGACTGGAGTGTTGCGATCATTGACATCACTTTTCCCAAGCAGGAGGGTGTTGCCGGATACCTTCTTGCACTGGAGCGCGTTTGCGCAGAGGTCTCTCAGGCGATCCAAGAAGGATTTAAAATCGTTATTCTCTCCGACGCAGCGGTTAATGCGCAGCGCGTCGCGATATCTTCGTTGATCGCGGTCGGCGGCGTGCACCACCACCTCGTGCGAAGCAAACAGCGTTCGAGGATCGCTCTCATGATCGAAACTGCCGAGGCACGTGAAGTTCACCATGTTTGTGTCTTATTAGGCTATGGTGCCGATGCCGTCTGTCCCTATCTTGTGATGGAGGCGGTCCTTAAGTTGAACCGTGAAAATGCTCTGAAAAGTGACCTACCCATAGAAAAGATCATATCAAACTACAAGAAAGCGATAAACAATGGTATACTCAAAGTCATGTCGAAGATGGGGATTTCGACTTTGCAAAGTTACAAGGGCGCACAGATTTTCGAGGCGTTGGGCATCGACGAAAGCGTCATCGCCCGTTGCTTTGCCGGTACTTCTAGTAGGATAAAAGGTATTTATCTTCCGTGTCTCTCTTTTCTCCGGTTTGCTTATTTCCGTTTTCAAGTGATTGATCGATGTGCATAATAAAATTTCATAGGGACGACATTTGACATTTTGGCGTTGGATGCCTTCGCTTTCCACGAGCAAGGCTATCCCACCCGCGACACTATTCTCCCACCGGGTCTTCCCGAAGCCGGTGAATATCATTGGCGCGATGGTGGCGAACCCCACATTAACGATCCTTCTGGTATCGCGAAACTGCAAGATGCGGTTCGCACGAAAAATCAGTCATCTTACGACTCTTACTCTCGTAACGCCTATGAGCAAATCAAAAGCTGTACATTGCGTGGCCTCTTGGATTTCGATTATGAGAACTCCAAGCCCATACCATTGAGTCAAGTTGAACCTTGGACCGAAATTGTCAAAAGATTTTGTACTGGTGCCATGTCGTATGGTTCCATCTCCATAGAAGCTCACTCCTCTCTTGCCATCGCCATGAATCGCTTGGGTGGTAAATCAAATACAGGCGAGGGTGGCGAGGATCCGGAACGTTCCGTTCCATTACGAAACGGTGATTCCATGCGTTCGGCTATCAAACAGGTTGCATCCGGTCGTTTCGGTGTGACGTCCTATTATCTTTCGGACTCTAACGAACTTCAGATTAAGATGGCCCAGGGTGCAAAACCCGGGGAGGGAGGTGAACTCGTTGGTGCAAAAGTGGATGCAAACATCGCGCGCTGCTGGGCACCCGGCACCGAATTCATCATGTTCGACGGAACCGTCAAGAAGGTTGAGGAGATTCAGCTTTGCGATCAACTAATGGGGGACGATGGTACCGCTCGCACTGTCCTTGGGATCAACAACGGTCGCGGGCAGATGTACCGCATTCAACCGATCAGCAAATGTTCAGGTGAAGCGTTTGAGGTTAACGGCGAGCACATCCTCTGCCTCAGAATCGGCAGTAAATCGAAGATCAATAAAAATGAAAGACATCGTGGTGCCAAGCATTGGGAATATGTGTTGGAATGGTTCGAGCACGAGCCTGAGACTAACCGCGTTATTAAACGTCACAATGTCTTCAAATATCCATCCAAGAATTACCCGGACGAAGAATCTGCCAAGAAGGCGGCCGAAGAGGCCAAAAACCATGTACCAGATCTTCACGGACAAGATTTTATTTGGGAAGTCAGCGTCGAAAATTTCTTGAAGCATCCATTATCTGTTCGAAAGGCGTGCACCTTATACACGCCTGGACTCGTCCGCTTCCCGTCCTGCGAAGGTCATCTCGCCGGCGTTCTCCGTGAAGTGCTCAATAAAAAGCCAACTCTCGAGCAAGTACAAGGAGTCGCCTGGCTCATCGGCGTGTGGCTCAGTGACAGTTCCACGAGCAGGCCAATTTCAACGCGTAACTTCGGAAAGATAAAGTTTGTTGACAAGGTGAGGAACATTGTCGAAGGTATCGAGTGCAAGGTCCAAATCGGACACGTCGCTGGTGGCAGAGAGACGGTTGAGGGAACCTCAAGCGATGAAGAAATATCTTGGTCAATTCACATCAACAAGGACGTCGATTTAAACATCATTGGCAGTCGATTTTCGGAGATTTTGTGCAAACTTGGAATTGCAAACGTTGGTGGGAAGATGGATGCCAACTTCAAGGTTTTACCCCGTGCCCTGATTCTCGATGAGCTGAACGTTCGTTTGTACCTCCTCGCCGGTCTCATCGATGTTAACGGATATTACAAGAAAAATAGAAACACTTATGATTTTGGTCAACATCACAAGCACATTGTTGACGCCGTCCGGGAATTAGCGAATCTTACCGGTTTCAATGTTAGCAAGATCACTCGTCAAGGCGATGTTCGACCTCTGTGGAACGTGTTGATCGGAGGCCCGAACATTCATCACATCCCGATCGCCGCAAAGAATAAATCCTGTGAACGAATTGCAGAGTGTTTCCGTCACTACAACTCCTGGGGCTTCACTGTGATTCCGACCGGTTCAAACGATCAATTCTATGGTTTCACCACGGATGGCAACGAGCGAATGCTCCTTCGCGACTGCACGGTGACACACAACACACGAAAGACTGTTCCCGGCGTTGGTCTAATCTCCCCTCCACCTCATCACGACATTTATTCCATTGAAGATTTAAAACAATTAATTTATGACCTAAAATGCTCAAATCCTCGAGCTCGTGTGTCCGTGAAATTGGTATCGGAAGTTGGAGTCGGTATCGTCGCCGCCGGTGTTGCCAAGGCCAAAGCCGACCACATCCTCATCTCTGGCCACGACGGTGGTACAGGCGCATCCAGATGGACAAGTATAAAATATGCCGGTTTACCATGGGAATTGGGTCTAGCGGAAACTCATCAGACACTGGTGCTCAACGATCTTCGTGGTCGTGTCGTCGTTCAAACGGATGGTCAGATTAGGACCGGTCGCGACGTGGCAATCGCTTGTTTGTTAGGTGCTGAGGAGTGGGGTTTCGCGACTACGCCCTTAATAGCCCTAGGTTGTATAATGATGAGGAAATGCCATCTCAACACTTGCCCCGTCGGTATCGCGACCCAGGATCCCGCTCTCCGAAAGAAATTTGAAGGTCAACCTGAAGATGTGATAAATTTCTTCTATTACATTGCCGAAGAATGCCGTCAAATTATGGCCAAACTCGGTTTTCGCACTATTAACGAGATGGTCGGTCGCTCGGACAAGCTCAAGGTTAATGACTCGTTGCGCAATCCAAAAACTGACAACATCGATCTTACACCAATTCTGACGCCAGCCTACACTTTACGTCCCGGAGTGGCAACCCATAATGTCTGCAAGCAGGATCACAAGCTCTACATTCGTTTGGACAATAAGCTCATCGATGAATCTGACGTAGCGTTGACCAAGAAACAACGTGTTGACATTGATTGCAACATTCTTAATACTGATCGCGCCCTTGGTGCCACCCTGTCCTTCCACATTTCCAAAAATCACGGCGAAAATGGCTTGCCCGGTGATACGATTCACGTAAAGATCAAAGGCTCAGCCGGTCAGTCATTCGGCGCTTTTGTGGCTCCGGGCGTCACCTTGGAATTGGAGGGTGATGCAAACGATTACGTCGGTAAAGGTCTCTCCGGGGGTCGTCTCATCGTCTACCCGCCCAAAATCTCAACTTTCAAGTCAGAAGATAACATCATCGTGGGCAACGTGTGTTTGTATGGTGCCACTAGTGGTCATGCGTTCTTCCGGGGTATTGCCGCCGAACGTTTCTGCGTGCGTAACTCGGGTGCCGTCGCGGTTGTCGAAGGCGTCGGTGATCACGGGTGCGAGTATATGACCGGGGGAAAGGTAGTGGTCCTGGGTTCGACCGGTCGTAACTTTGCGGCCGGCATGAGTGGAGGTGTTGCATATATCCTAGATTTGGCGGAAGACTTCCGAGATAAGTGCAATCTTGAAATGGTGGGCCTTGAGACTGTCAACGATCCCAAAGAGGTCGCACTCCTACGTGGATTGATCGAGGATCATCGTCACTACACTGGATCTGAGGTTGCCGACAGAGTTTTGAAAAACTTTAATCAAATACTTCCACGTTTCGTCAAAGTCATGCCAACCGATTACAAGGCCATCCTGGAGAAACAAAGACTCGCGGCCGAAGAAGAAAGCAAAAAAATACAGGTTATCGAGCTGCCGCAATCACAGGTCACAGCCAAGCCCGAAGAACCGTCGGTCGTGGACATCGAAGATTCAATGGTCGATGAGGAGGCAGCCAAGAAGAGACTTGAAAATCTCGACAAACTTCGCGGTTTCATGAAGTACAAGAGAAAAGTTGACAACTACCGAAATCCACTAAAACGCGTCAAGGATTGGAAAGAAATCAACGCACGCCTCAGCGAACCCGACCTTAAAGTCCAGGCTGCCCGTTGCATGGACTGCGGTGTGCCCTTCTGTCAATCAGACACCGGCTGCCCAATTGGTAACATCATTCCGAAATGGAACGAACTTGTGTTCAAGGACCAATGGCGTGATGCACTGGATCGACTGATGATGACGAATAACTTTCCCGAATTCACTGGTCGCGTCTGTCCGGCGCCTTGTGAAGGTGCTTGCGTCCTGGGAATTAATGAAGCACCTGTCAGCATAAAGTCCATTGAGGCAGCGATCATCGACAAAGGTTTTGAGATGGGATGGATTGTTCCGAAGATACCGGCAATTAGAACCGGAAAGAAGGTAGCCATTATCGGCTCTGGACCTGCTGGTCTTGCCGCCGCCGATCAATTGAATAAGGCTGGTCACAAGGTCACGGTATACGATCGCAACGATCGATTTGGTGGATTGCTAATGTATGGCATTCCGAACATGAAGTTAGACAAGAAGGTTGTTCAACGACGTATTAACCTTTTATCAGAGGAAGGAATCAAGTTTGTCGCAAATGCACATGTCGGAGAGAACGTCGACGCAGCAAGAGTTCGGCGTGAGAATGACGCGTTAATAGTGGCTACTGGTGCGACATGGCCCCGAGATTTAAAAATACCGAATCGTAATTTGGACGGAATTCATTTTGCCATGGAATTTTTACAGTTGAACACGCAATCTCTCCTGGACTCCAATCTTCAGGATAACAGATATATCAGTGCGAAAGATAAGGATGGTAAGCATACAATCGAAAGTCCAACGACTCTCCCATTGTTCTCGCTCGACGGCATGACTAACAACTTTCAAAAAATTCCCGTCTTGTAAAACTTAGTCGTGGTGATAGGTGGCGGTGACACCGGTACTGATTGCATAGGGACATCGCTCCGTCATGGTTAGTGTCATGTGATTTAAATGCTTTCAAAATTATTTGCATCGTCACCCCCGATGTGACCGACGTTTGTGATTTGACAGGTGCGAAATCTATCGTGAACTTTGAATTACTTCCGCAACCCCCGGCAACCCGTGACAAAAGTGAGATTCGTTTCAAAATTCGCTAATTCGATTTCTCCTCCAAGAATGATTTGATTAAACTTTGATCGTTTCAAAAATAGGTTCAAACCCTTGGCCAACCTTCCCGAGAACGTTTAAAGTTGATTATGGTGTGTATGATCTCATCTTTCGACCTCATTTGACTTCACACGGCGGCGCTAACGTTCTTGCATCTTTGTAGGTCATGCCGAAGTCAAGATGCAATTTGGCAAGGATCCGCGTGAATTCTGGTATGCGTCTTGTTCGTCATGGTTTCTTTATTTGTTGATTCATCCGTGCATTCCTTCATTCATTCATTCATTCATTCGTTCATTCGTCACTGTTTAGTGTTCTCACAAAAGAGTTTGTATCCGATGGAAATGGGCGTGTATGTGGAATCAATACGGTTCGCGTGGAATGGACAAAAGATGAGAGTGGCAAGTGGTCCATGAAGGAAATACCGGGCAGCGAACAACATTTCAAAGCAGATTTAGTTTTATTGGCCATGGGATTCTTGGGACCCGAAGAGAAGTTAATCAAAAGTCTGGGATTAAAAACGGATTCGCGCACAAACATTGAAACACCCAAGGGGAAATATTCCACCGCGGTTCCCGGCATATTCGCTGCCGGTGACGCTCGTCGTGGACAGAGTTTAATCGTGTGGGGTATCAATGAAGGTAGGCAGGCAGCAAGAGAGGTCGACCAATACTTGATGGGTGATACAATGTTACCTTCCGCCGGCGGCATAAAACAACGCACCTTGGAGTCGCTGTCGCACAAATCGCGTCCCGGTCTGGTAGCGCTCACTAGTTAAAATGTCAAGTCCGATTTTTTTTAAAAAAAAAAAAGCTCGTAATCATGGGTTCTTTATATGTGTACGTACGCAAATGAAATCTCTCATAGCACCATCATCAAATCCAATTTTTTCTTTTACCTGTAATTTTATTTTAAAAAATAGTATATACCTACACATATATATATATAGTACAACAAATTCATTTTGTTTATAGTTTTTTTAGCCTTTCTTAGTACATAATTTATTTATAGAAACTCTAATAAAGAAAATCATCAAGCATTCTCTTTCAATTAATTATATCGCACAATCTTCTTTAACTTTAATGAATCAGTGTTCTCGACGATAAATGCGAATTCGACTCACCGCACACATTGAATCGATAATAAAACTTCAAAAAAAAACGTGTATTACATATATATTACATTGATCACTTCCATTTAAATATTATTTTTGCGCTATATATATATGTATATATATTTGATTTCAAATTCCGATAATTTTTTGTTAAACACCCACGAATAAAGATCACCTTGTTTTTTTTTTTTTTTGTTTTTTTTTTTTTTGTGGTAATTCCCGAGCAAGCAGATAAACTAACTATACTAATTATAAAAAGAAAAAACATACACAGATTTTGTAAAATGAAGATAAAGTACAACGTGTAAGAAAATGAAATTAGGAGAACGCGCCATTACTAAGTGATACACGCGTTGGAAAATTTGAAAATGATGAATGGTGGTGTTTGTTTTTATAAATACATAGGAGATTATAGAACATAAAGGTATAAATATGTTCCAAAGATATATTTCACGCAAGCGTGTCAGAATTTGTTCAAAGAAAAAAGATGAAGAAGGCTTTCTACAAGTGAAAATCAGAAGGGGTAAAAAGAAAAAGAGTACAAAAGAATATAAAAATGAAAACTAATGATTTGAAATTAATGACTCTTAAATTTTTTCATGACTATATTCTGTTTCGCGCGACAGATAATACACAAACTATCACTACAACAGGAGAAGGGGATATTTTATAGCAGGAGGACAAAAAATACACTTTTTTTTTTTTTTTTTTTTTTTGAAACAATAGAAATTGAATTTGTCGTATGATACACAGATGTTGGTCCTCCGCACGTCTAAACAAGGAAAAAAAAAAAAAAAAGGTCCACACGATAATGCGAGAGGATGAAGCATAATGAAAACAACACTTTTTTCCCACCCCAAAATATATAAAAATAAAATAAAATAAAAAAGAAACCACAAAATTCCTTACAAATACGGGTAACCTTGTGTAAATTCGTTCAGGCCAACCATACCGAAATTTCCCAACCCGTTAAATGGAAGCCTGAGTAAGTTCATGTTGCCCATGTTAAGACCGTTGCTCATGTTAAGGCTATTACTCATGTTAAGGTTGTTGATCGTGCTCAAGGCTTGCATGTGTTGTTCGCGGTGAAGTTTCCCTTGAATGCGCTTTCCATATGGAGTGTTACGGATGGCTGGCAAAAGTGGTCGAATACAGTCCACAAGCTAATTGAAAAGTTGTAAATAGATATTGTTCGAGAAAGCTCAGAGATAAATCAAGTTGATATGAACGAAAAAAATCCACAACACATACTTGGGCGCGCTGCACAGGGTCCGCGTAATCGAGCGAAGTTTGTACGACATAATTCGCGTACGAATCTCGTAATAACTTGTCAAGTCGATTCATGTTGAGCATCTCGTCGATTAGAAACTTGCGCGTTTCAGGTTCTGAAACCCTGATGCACTGCGTCAGAAACAAGCGTTCGACGGTTAGTAAAGTTTTTTTTTGTCCATTCAAAAGCCATCTGGTCAAATAATAGGTATATCTACCTTCTCCATAACATTTGAACTGAACTTTTGCACAGACAAAAGACACACGTTGCCAATAAACTTTCGAATTAGTGCATCTTTAAACCGATTGTCGCCTAGATCCAAAACGTATTGAACAACATAGTTGCCGAAAGGATCCTGCACGCAAAAATTTCAAGTTCAGAATGCATTATGGGAATGAGAAGAGGTCAAATATATCATGCGAAGGAAAGAAGCTTACTTGAACCAAGGTGAGTGCGTTGAACGTGATCTCAGTAACAAGCTGTATCTTTTGTGACTCGCTGGCATGGTCGATACACCTTTGAAGCACACAGCAACCGTGACGATGTGTCGCGACCTCGACGCAATTTTTGCTGACAGCGTTGTATACAAACTGTTTATTATAAATTAAATAAGAGAAAACTTAAGCACCAAATTACGGAAACCGTAGAAAGTAATGGTTCAAGGAAAACTTTTGTACTTGATTATCCTCGGAGCTCAACCGATGTAAGCATTTTTGGATGACGTGATTGCCGTTCAAATCTTTAATCAGAGTCACGACATTAGGATTAAGAGCCACGATAACTGTACGGACCTGATTTACACGAACAAGCAAGATCAGTAAGAAGGGAACTCAACCTCCCCGGTGCGGCATACGAATGATTAAACCTAAAAATACTGACCTGCTTTGGTGTTGATAGGAATTCAATCATCTTTTGAACTGCACGAGTACCGTGCATGTTCAACGAAATGTTCACCAACTCGGGTGCGACGGTCTCAACTATAATTGTACGCTGGTCATCGTTGCAGTATTCGAGGAGTTTTTGGCAGAGATAATTTCCAAAAGGATCTGAACGAATTATTATAATTTAGAACTCGCGAATATGGCGTAAGCAATATGAGAAATCACGTAGCAACCGTCTACCAACCTGTCATCAGTTCAACAAAGTGACTAAAAACTTCGTTGAAGATCATACCGAGGTACTGATCGTTCTTCTCCTCAAGCTTCTTTTGCAGATAGCGACACCCATGTTGGTCCTTACAAAGAGAATATATTTCCCCAACCAATTCCTCCAACAGTACCCCAGCAAACCTGTTAACTATTTGAAGATGAAAAAAAAAAAAACGGAATACACATTCGGTTAATTGCAACGTGGAGAGAGCTCGACGTTCACATGCACAAGCATAAAATCCCACCTTCAAGGTCTGCACTCAACCGCTTCTGATTCATCTTCGAAAGGACCGAGTTATTAGCCTGCACGATCGATCTCATGTTATTGTTAGAATTGATTGTGGCTACATTGTTGGTGAGATTGTGATTATATCCAAATCCAGAAGCTCCCGGTAACATGCCGATCCCAGCTCTACCACCCATATTGTATTGACTATAGAAAGTCGTTGTATTATTATTATGGTTATTATTAGCATTATTATTGTTGACCGACGGAACAATTCCCGAATATGCACCCATCTGAGATGCCAGGCCCATGTTCATCGACATTCCGCCATAAGCGTGTGTATGGGCATATTGACACCTTTCACCTCGAGAACATAACCCTTGTTGAAAGAACTTGCATACACCGTTAGCCGAATCACCCGTGTTTTGCGGTTGATTTGTTTGCGCCATCGAATTATCGACTTCGACGAGTACCTCGTTCACCATCTGACAGTTAATTACAGTAGAGCGACGACCAAATAATCGAGTCGCGCTAGCCAAGTCCGGTGTAGAATATGAGGTCGAAAGTTTTGGTGCCCTAGATTTCGCGGATGAGTTATCTACCAATGTTTTCCTCTCGTTTACATAAGACAACCCATTTGGATCAACCACACAAGGGGTTATGCCACCGGATGCAGAGGCGACAACCGGTTTCTTGCTGGACGACACCTGATTCTCGGAAAATATGGGCGCTATCTGAACACGTGATTCCTTTCGATCCTCGGACAAGTTGTCGTGTGTCCAATCCGCATTCCGTATGGGATCGAAACTTCGATGACGAGAAGGTGTTTGAGGTAAGGGGGCCAGGTCCAACGCGGCAGAAGACGCCGATAACTGAACGAGCAATATAGTATATTTCCGAATGAACTCGGAGGCGTGATAAAATGAATCATAGAACAATATAAACCAAACCAACCATGCCCGGATAACTGTCGCGACGAACTAATATCGGAAACTTGTCATCGTCCGAATGCATTTGGAGATAATGGCTAACATGCAACGACGAAGGATTTGCTAAATTGAATTTTGGGCAAATCATCAGATCGGATCGAGATCGTGCGCGCGATGAATGTGGTGATAATATAGACTTACCACCTAAACCTGTTGTAGTCGATTCACCGTCGTCATCAAGTAGGAAGTTTCCGTTAAATTGCGGAAACAATATATCACTATTGGACGCGTTGATCGCAATTGATTCCGGCGTAAGAAGTGGATTTGAACCTTGAATCTGGTTCGAGGGGCGAATGAAATCTTCCCTATGTGCGAGAGGAACATTATGAGCACAGGAGGCTATCTAATGATTTCTAAACGACGGAATAAATCCGACTTACTCTGTGTTATCGGAATTTTCGTTCTTTGAACTGAGAGACAAGTTCTCAATATCAGGTAACACGGGTTCCTCAGGAATTTCGTTAGAATTACGCCGCGAATTTGGAACAGAACGGGATGACGCCCGAGATCGTTGCATCAAACCGTGATTTAGCGATGGAGGTTGGAGTGGATCGAATTGGGAAGAGTTTAGCGTGTCGTTTCCTTTCGGCGAATTTAACCTGGGTATCGTATTTGATCGAGCGCGGGTATCACTTGTCACCAACGAAGGTGGTGTACTTGGCGCACTGGATGAAACGACGCAACCGGATTGATGTTTTTCAAGCAGGTCTTGTTCTTCTCGAAGTTGCTGAAGCTCGAGAATCTTCATTTGCGCTTCGAACAATTTTCGTTGCTCTTTTCGCTGTCGTTCGTGCTCCAATCGTTTTTGTTCCAATTTCTACATGTTCGATGGACATCAAATGTTAGATCGGAAGAATGAATTACAATGCTTTTATCTTTTTCGAAAGGAATAACAATAACAAAACCTACAATGTCAACTTCCGAAGCTGAAGAGCTTGAACTAGTCGTGATCTAAGGAGAAGAAAATAATAATAATAATAATAATAATAGTTAACTAACTGATGGTATAATTGGGAACAGGAGGAATTATAATTATTATAATTATTATCATCATCATTATTTGGTACAATATTGTTATGTTTATGGAAAACAAACAATGTTTGTTTGTTATTTGTGGGAAATTACACAATTACATAAATGTGATAATCTATCTACATACCCCTGTACTTAAATAATCCGAATCTCCTAGATTCATAGTAGAATCAACCAATAAATCCAATGATCCATTTCGTTCTATCTCATGTGAACCACGACTTGAGTGTCTGTCACCCACCCTGTCACGACAAACGTCGATAGATGACGAATGTTGAGAGTGCGGGGCGTTCAATATATGGGTTCCGTTTAAAATTTGACGTTGCCGTTGTATGCGACGAATATCTTGTTGAGTATCCGACGATGACAGAGGAGGTATGTTGTTGAGTGGTATCAGATAAGTTTGTGTTCTCGAATCCACCGTTGGCATAGACTTGTTATAGGTTGATGTATTAAATTCCCTAGGAAATAGGTTATGAGGAAATAGATTGCCAGTGGGTGAGAGAGCGGCAACGCTCGTGTGCTCTAGAGACATTTCTTGGTTATTAAAGGTGAGGGGCGTGTGCTTGCTTTTCGTGCGAACAGATTCACAACCTTTCTTTCTTATCCTAGAGATGTAATAAAGGAATGGGAGGTCAGAAGATTTCGGGTTGTGGCAGCGAGGGAGTAAAGGAAGATGGTTTATGGTGAGGAATGGTGTGTCACATAAGATCTATTTTTTTTTATTTTTTTTTTTTTTAATTATTATTTTCCGTGCACGATTGCACTTCAAGGGAATGGAGATCAAAGAGAGAGAGAGGGGAGTAAAAAAAAAAAAGTATAGAACTAAAGGAAACAAGCAAAAAATGGCAGGATAATTATTTCGGGTCAAAGTGAAACGCATAAATAAACAACAAATATAACACAAGCATATGCGCATATTTTGTTGCTTTTTTTTGGCTATGCCACAGGCTAAACCTTGCAGGGTGAAAAGACCGATCAATATGTTTCACATAAGCAAATAGAGTTTTTTTTTTTTTCTAAAAAAAAAAAAAAAAAAAAAGGAGGAAAGAAAGAAACACAAATATGATATGCGTGTTTTCAGGTCTCCAAAACCGACTCCGCATGTCATTTGCAGCCTGAAAGGAGGAAGCTTCGATAACGCGTTTGGAAAGAAAAAAAAAAAAAAAACTAAAGGACCTTGACAATACTCTTTGCGAAAAAGTAAAAGAAAAAAAAAAAAAGACAAAAGAATAGTTGAGAAGCACTTTGTTTCTGAGAGATCAACTTACCCTGGACAGAGCCAAAACGGTGACAACAGTGTCAAGTGCAAAGAGAGATACACGTTATAGAGGGGGGGTTGAGGATCAAGTGAGTAAACAAGAGTACAATCAATCATACTAGTTTGCTGCAGAACATTAAAATTCTATTTTAGTTTTCTTCTTATGGCGGTAGATGTTACAGTAAACTGCATTAATGTTTATGTCTATATTTTTTCCGTTTCTGTACTCTACTGATGTACATAATTATTTTATCCACAAAGTATTAAGTGAAAATAGAAAGTTCAACAATTGAGCACTGTGTATAGTTGTATGCGTGTACAAGACCACTGGTGCGCACTAAAAAGTACTAAGGAAATTTTCCGACGCGTGGTATTCATCATTCATCTGTTTGTCCACCCCCAAAATTCCAAAGTATCACATTTTTCTTTATACGGCAACAATTCTACGTTGGGTGCATTGATAATCGTCACTTATTCACGCATGACATCAATACAAAAGAACAATCTCCGAATGTCCGAATGTCCGAATGAATGAATGCGTAATCTGAACTATCAGAATTGTAGAAGTTCTGCCGAACGGGTATTTTAGCGTGTTTGAAGCTTGTAAGCTACCTTTCCATTCTTAAGGATATTACCAAACATTTAATCTCGTGACGGGTTTGCTTTTTTTTTCTTTTTTTTTTCTTTTTATTTCTTTTCCATTGCTGGAAAACACTCAAGTATAATTTCAGCTTTTCTCACGTTCCCTACACGGCAAACGGTCATACAAACGAACGACAACGAAGAAGCGTCCCGACTTATACCGTGCATATTTCCGATCTTTCCCGTTTATCTTTATGTTCCCATTGATGGTCGGAGTAGAAGAGTCCGTGAGTGTGATTGATATATGTACCCTGAAAAATCTCTCAACTGTTAAATTTTTTTTTATTTAATCTGTATTTATTCGGCGGATCGATGGGTAAAAGCGATCGTAATCTCGTGGTTAATTCCATAAAATCTTTTGAGCACGTGTTCCAAAAAAAAAAGGGTTATTTTTTTTTTAAGGTTCAGGAACATGGAATTTTCATTTAACTCTCTTTAGATCGAGTTATTTTGCAATTATTTACTATTTATTATCAATTATTGTAATCACCATCATCATTATTATTGTTATTTTTCGGGCGGGAGTAGCCGACCGCTGCACGATTACTATCATCACGAACCTTACCACATTCATCTTTGACACTCTTCAATCGAACTCCGGAATCGCACCAATGAATAATGGTCATCTTGTTGCCAGCGTTAAGTTATGACGTAATTCCAAAAACGAGAAAAATTTTTTTCAATTATTCCTGATTTGTGTAAATGAGATAAGTCGATTTATGTCGTGATTTAAACAAAGATGTTGTTGGTCCGAATGAATTCACGAAGGTGGTTCCTCATATGTGGCGAATGAGGTGGATGACCATACCGAGAATTTTTCGCGTGGAAACCTTATCATCTTTTACTGATTGACGAAAGTTTATCACGACACAATTGATTATTTGATGGAGGCAAGGAAAAAAAAAAAAAATTAAAATTCAGTTTTTTTCTTCTCATTGGATTTCTGGTAAGGAACTTGGCGCACTTGATCGGCAAACGTAGTCACGAATTATTGTTCGACCATGAATTCAAGTGCCAAATTAGCAGAAGGGGGGATTCGATGATTGCCAAAACAAATGACTTTGGTATTATTATTAATTTGGTCCCCGGTTTTGAAACTTGAAACGATAAAGTTGTGGAATTGTGAAACGAACGAGAGAAAGCGTTATCACGGGTGATGTGATTATACAGAGATCGATTGCCTTATCAGCCATCAATCGTAAAATCAATTATCCCTTATTTAATCAAATATCGTGTGTGTACCACATACGTATTGAAACATGTGAAAAAATCCGTTTACGTAGTAAATTGTTACAATCAGATGTTTGAAATATATGTATGTATATATATACTGTATTTATCTTAATGTTTCGTAACCTCTTTAATGATACATAATAAACGTTCGACCTCCCTGAGATGCCATTCTCTGTAATTCATTAGATCTCTTAATAGAGGCATCATAATTGTCACCGCAAGCATCTTTGAGAATGCCAAAAAAAAAAAAAAAAAAAAAAAGTTTATCAGAGGTGCTACCTGCCGTACGTCTTAACTTTATATGGATCATTTTATTTTTAACCTGTAAATCTTATCACTAGCGGGTTTAATATAATGTATTGAGGTATCATTCAATCTACTTTACAACCGTATTTTCATTCGCACTCCTCTCTTAATTTGCCGGTGCGCTCTCTTTCCGTACTTTTCTTCGTAACATTGGGCATACCATAGATTAATATATAAACAACGTATACATTGCTGGTCAGTGTGTAAACAAGAGTGTGATAGTGTTTTGACTTTTTTTTTTTTTTTTCTCATTAATCGTTAATCGATAGTCACCAAAAGGTCATATATATACTTTACTTGTGTGTGCGTGTGTGTAAATAACCTTTTCCTCTTGTCACCAAATCCTTCCCGTTCTGGCAAATAAGCAGTTCCTGATATTTTCCGCACGCATTTTACGTATATCTTGTTTATACACACATCTATTTATTTATACACCATATTATAAACATAACGTATATACATTTCAAAATAACCGGTAGTCTGACTTGTCAATTATTTATATACATCAAGTTCAAGTTCACAAAGTGTCTTTCTGCCTGCACATTTTTTTTTTTTCTTTCCCTCCAAAACATTTAATATCAAGCCTTTGAACGCCGGAGATAAATCCAAAACCCCCCCCCCCCCCCCCCCCCCCCCCCCCCCCCCCCCCCCCCCCTCCCCCCCCCCCCCCCCCCTCCCCCCCCCCCCTCCCGCTTCTCGTCCCCGGCCGCCGCCGCTCCCGCACCCCCTTCTC